GTCGTGTAATAGTCTTGTGCTCTTGTGCATTGAGAGGTATAGCTGTGAATTAGGCTTCTGTTTCAAAGGGGGTGGGGGGTGTATTTTTGTGTGCTTGCATGGATATGTTGCTCCAATGCACCTGCACTTGTGTTTTCTTGCCATCCCATATCACAGTATTTTCACTTGAGTGAGCCTTGTATGTGCCTGTTTCCACATTAATTTCAGTGAGATGTTCATTACGATTAAACCACAGTTCAGTCATAGAGGAAAATTTAACATTCCTGCATCTTATGTGTTTGTGGAAATATAACAAAAGCCCTTTGTGCAGATACATCTATTCTTTAAGATTTCATACAGAGCTAGGTAGGTGTCTGTTACGTAGGTACTCAAGGGATTTGAATGCACTGTGAACTGCAGTCTTCTTATTAGTGTTTGTGTGTGTTGGTGTTTCAGAAGCATGCCTGTGTTTGTGTGTGGATGCAAGTGCTTATATGGGTGGGGATTTTGTATCTCTGTCTATATATATGTGACATGCCCACCCACGTCCTTACCCACAGAGTCGTTCAAAATCTCTGTGCATGTGATGTGGGTGTGTGTGTCATGTAGAAGTGTGAATAGTGTGGGCAGGGGAAGATTTGAATACCGTGGTAATAGATGACACAGTTTCATTTGATCAGTGTGACCTTTTAGGAAAACAATCCAATCTTTTCCCTTTTTGTTTTGTTTATTTTTGTGTGTTTGTGCATGTGCCTCAGGTTAAGTGCTTCTTCTGCATGACCATAACCAAAGGGTGACCCATCCACTCCCTTATGTCCTATGGGGACCTCAGAGCCAGTTTCTCAGTCTTCATCTCCTCATCCTCCTCCTCTTACCACTGCTGCTGACGCCCTGGGTGCAGCTCCCAGGTTTGAGACATTGTTGACAGGCTGAAGAAAGGATTTGCAAAGACCTCTTCACTGTGTAAATAAAGCGATAGCTGGAATTAATTTCAACTCCCCAAGTAATGATATTAAACAATAATAAGATTTCTAGGCCAAAGCATAACCAGGAACAAATTATGAGAAAAGGGACTATTTGCATTTGGTTGCAATGATGAACTAAAACCATCTGCAGAGAGCAGACACCCTTAGATTTGTATTTTATTTTTTTCCCTCATGAATGCACTCTTTGTAGCCTGCAAGGTGGTCCTCATTCTGATCAGATCTGTGATAGCCACAGGAGATAAATGGAAATAAAGGGGCTTGGTGGATGAGAGAGAAAGGAAGGGCTCAGCTGTTCCCTGGTTCAATTTGAGAATTTCATCTATTCATATTAGCAGAACAGTAGTTTGTGTCAGACGTTCTGGACAATAAGAAGATGCAGATCTGTGGTTTTCCAAAACATAGATGCAGTATTAAAACTCTGTTGCCCTGCTCTACATCCAAGGGACTGTCCTCCAAATGCAAATGGCTTTGAACTTTCTAGAGTGAAAGTTAGAGTGACACTGAAAATAAAACCTTTTTGCATTAAGTGATTAAAAAAAAAGAAAAAAAAGAAAAAAAAACAGTATCAAAATGGAGGTTGCAATGGTGAGTGCAGATAGCTCTGGGTGCAACAGCCACATGCCCTATGGCTATGCAGCCCAAGCTCGGGCCCGAGAGAGAGAGCGGCTGGCACAGTCGAGAGCCGCAGCAGCTGCGGCCGTGGCAGCAGCCACAGCAGCAGTAGAAGGTGGGGCAGCAGGGGGAGGTGGGCCATACCACCACTACCATCAGGAGCAGAGTCGAGGTGCCTCCTCCTCGCGTGGTGGGAACGCGTCACGCAGCAGCGTGTCCCGCCGCCAGGGTGGTAAGAGGCGGAAGAAAGGGAAAAAGAGGAGCCACCACTTGGGAAGTAGGGAGTGTGGGGCCTCCTTCCCCTGTTCTGAGCTGCTGCCTCTCAGCGGTTCCGAAGAGAGAATACTGAAGGACTTGAGTGAGGAGGAAGAGGAGGATGAAGACGAGGAGGAAGACGATGAGGAAGAAGGAAAGCTCTACTACAGTGATGACTATGGGGAGGATGAGTTTTCCTACTCGGACCAGCCACCGGATGATGGTGGAGGCCCTGGGGGTTACAGCTCTGTTCGCTACAGTGAGTACGAGTGTTGTGAACGTGTAGTAATCAACGTGTCGGGACTGCGGTTTGAGACCCAACTGAAGACTTTAGCTCAGTTCCCGGAGACGTTGCTGGGTGACCCAGCGAAGCGAGGCAGATACTTTGACCCTCTCAGGAATGAATACTTCTTTGATAGGAACCGACCCAGCTTTGATGCCATCCTGTACTACTACCAGAGTGGCGGTCGGCTGAAGAGGCCAGTCAATGTACCCTTTGACATCTTCAGTGAGGAGGTGAAATTCTACCAGCTTGGGGAGGAGGCCATGCTCAAGTTTAGGGAGGACGAAGGGTTTGTCAAAGAGGAAGAGGACAGAGCTTTGCCGGAGAATGAATTCAAGAAGCAGGTTTGGCTGCTGTTTGAGTACCCGGAGAGCTCCAGTCCAGCCAGAGGCATTGCCATTGTCTCTGTCTTGGTCATCTTGATCTCTATCGTCATCTTTTGTCTGGAGACTTTGCCAGAGTTCAGAGATGACAAAGAATTCCTCGTGTCCCTGAGTTTAGGGAAGGGGCTTTCCAATGAGTCACTTCACTTGGATGCTGGGGAGCACACCATCTTCAATGACCCTTTTTTCATTGTAGAGACAGTATGCATCATTTGGTTCTCCTTTGAGTTTACAGTGCGCTGCTTTGCATGTCCAAGCAAAGCACAGTTCTTCAAGAACATCATGAACATCATAGACATTGTCTCCATCTTGCCTTACTTCATCACTCTGGGCACTGACTTGGCGCAGGAACAGGGCAGTAATGGTCAACAGGCCATGTCTTTTGCCATCCTGAGGATCATCCGTCTCGTCAGGGTGTTTCGCATCTTCAAGCTCTCCAGGCACTCCAAGGGTTTGCAGATCCTGGGTCATACGCTCAGGGCCAGCATGAGGGAACTTGGCCTCCTCATATTTTTTCTTTTTATCGGAGTAATTTTGTTTTCCAGTGCTGTTTACTTCGCAGAAGCTGATGAGCCTGCCACCCATTTTCAAAGCATCCCAGATGCCTTTTGGTGGGCTGTAGTGACCATGACTACAGTCGGTTATGGGGATATGAAACCCATAACTGTGGGTGGGAAAATAGTTGGGTCCCTGTGTGCCATTGCGGGAGTGTTAACCATTGCTTTACCAGTGCCAGTGATTGTCTCCAATTTTAACTATTTCTACCACAGAGAGACTGAGAATGAAGAACAAACTCAGCTGATGCAAAATGCAGTCAGCTGCCCTTACCTCCCAACAAATTTACTGAAGAAATTTAGAAGCTCATCGTCTTCATCCACAGAGGATAAATCAGAATATTTGGAGATGGAAGAAGGAGTTAAAGAATCTCTTTGTGTAAAGGAGAAAAAAAGTCAGGACACGGGGAATAGCAGTGAGTCAGAGAAGAAAAACTGTGTAAATTCGAATTCTGTGGAAACTGATGTGTAATTTTGAACGTTTCCAAATATGTTTATGCATTAAAGAGTGCAGTGAAAATAATGAAATATGCAAACAACAGTCCACAGCATATAGTAGTATGCCATTTAATGGTTAAATACAAATAAAAAGCATTGCTAAACTTGTATTACATATCAAGTAAGTGGTATAACTTGAGGAAGTGATTGCTAGATCTGATATAATTTCAGACTTTATATTTTTATTAGAATGCAAGTGTTTTGCACATGAGGCTGAAAAATTTATTAAATCCAAGTCAGTTTTAAAGTGGGTGCATGAACTGTCGACATCACTAATAACAGCTCTGTGGTAAAAGTTGGCATTCAGAGGTATTTACTATGTAAGAAGCAATGAAGTTTGGTAGTCATGTATCTATTTATCAATGCTTTAATAGCAGCTACCATGAATCATTGGATACCATAGTAATTGTTTTTCAAATGGTAAATTTATTGTAAAAAAGATATTCTGCAGAAGATAGATCTAATTTTTTTTTTTCTTGAAATATATAATGCTTGTTTTTAACTGGAAATTTACTTTGAAAAGGCTGCTGACCCTCCAGAAATTGTTTATTTTTATAACTGTCTTTGGAGGCATGGCAGCATTTGTTGTCTAATAATGAAAGAAATGAAGTAAGAGAATCATTTAACCTGGTCTGACTGCAAAGGCAAAATGACTGGAATGCTTTTTTGCACTACTTTATATGCTGGAGATATATTGAAAGAGACTTCATACTGTGAATGTTTACTAATGTAATAGTTCAATGACAATCATTGGAAGAGTGAATTTTGCATCATATTTTCTTGTTTCTTTTTTCTTTATGTGATGCTGATGGTGAAACAGCTAACATTACATTAATTCCATACTCTTTTTAATTATCTGTGATCTGGAAAAGGATTGTGAAGTAAAATTTTATAATCAAAATGATTTGAAATCAGTGTTTCCTACTGATGCCATCAAGAAATACCAACGTAATTTGTATCTTTTTCCTGGTTAATTTAACATTCAGAGTCTATGATGAGTACATGCATTTTGTCAGTACTGAAGAAATTTAATGTATGGGAGGAGAAAATAGCAGTAATGAGACACTCAGTTGTTACAGTACTGACAATTGAGAATTGCTAACTTTTAACATGCTATTATTGGTGCTGCATTTTCCCTTAATTACAGCTTTCACCCATGTGTATTTGAAGCAACATTTAAGATCCAAAATAGGCATCCTGGGATACAAGATGAACATACTGGGTCCCATGCAATCCTTGAGAAAAGATTTCATGATTTCTTTTCACCAGTTCTTAGGCCAGCTGTATTTTACTGTGCATTAAAAACTTCCACTGCCCTTCCTAGGAGGTGAAGGTAGGTAAAGATGAGCTGACCTACGGTACATTGCACGTTCCAGAATGAAATAGGTAAAGATATTGCTGCGGACAAAATACAGAGTAGATTCAGAACAGGCATTTTTATTTTTTCATACTTCTGATTACCTAGAGGAGGCACAATTAAATTGGAATTGTTTTTGAGGAGGCACTATGGAACATTCCAGATGATAAAACTTGAACCAAATTGGCATATGCACTTTAAGGGCTGGGATGGGTCATTGTGAAGAGAAAAAGAGGCTTATCAACACTGCCGAATTAAAGTAGTTTTGCAATATTGACTTAAAGCTGAGTAGTGGGTTTTATGCAGGGGGAGAGAACTGGGTAGTGACTGACTTCTGGAGCTGAAAAGTGACCATTAAAAGCAGTTGGAATTGGACATCGATGACATTATGCACAACCTATCAGTTAGCCATTGTTTGCCCTCTGAAGCATCCAGTGGTACTGAAGACAGCCACAGACAGGTTTTTCTTTCATGATTTATTTCTGACTTCATGGATTTTCTGTGAATCACCTCTTTGAAAAGTTTCTCTGCTTGTCCTCTTTTGCACTGCAAGAAGAACTAATAAAAACCAAGACACACAAAAGACTGTGGTGTGCTGAGCCCTGGTTCAAAACTTGTATTTAAATGTCTGTTTCCTGATTTAAAATCTTAGAGCAGACTTCACTATATTTATGATGTGAAGCATTAAACAAATCTCCTTTTCAGTGCGGTGACATTAATTCTAAGTATGTTGTGAATGAGACAACTCAGTAATTTTATACATAGGCATTTGCCAAAATTAAATTTTGAATTTTGTTGTAGCTCACCTGAGTTAAATGTACTAAATGCTTTTTTTACAGGGGCAATATCAGCAGTGAGGGTGAGCATTCTGTAAAATCTGGTAAAAATCCATAACTGAAAGTGTTCCTTTAACGCTAATAGTTAATGATGTGGGGAGTATAAAGGTTCTCATGTAAGCAAGCGTGCTGGTAGGTCTGTGTAATACCAGGGATCATCTAATACTAGGGACCATGGGAAGTACGTGAGAGTAAAAGAAATACTAACTAGGTAAATAAAGAACTTAGAGAAAATGAGTAGTACATGTTTGCAGTATTGATTGGTTGAAAGAGAAGGTGGCTCATAAGAGTTGGACTTTTAGATCTCAGATGGGAATACGGAAGGAAATTCTTTGAGTAACTAAGAATATGGTCACGTTTTGGACCTGGACCTCAGCATAAGGTAACTGCCTGAGTAGTTACTCAGCTTCTCCAGCAAGTCATCCAGCTATTCTGCTACCAGAACACAACCTTCTCATTTAGAACAAGTGTGGCAGTGCCTACATTGTGCTGTGCTCAGAGCAGTACGTTACTTTCTGAAAGAAAAGATCTTGCTGTAGGACCTGGTAGCAGTTGGCAGAGCACCATTTGGAGTGGGGCAGCCCTATGTACTGCAGCAATGTGGAGACATGTCCTGAGGTAAGACTGGAGCCTGCTCTGCCTCCTGCAGTGTGTAAACCTGGCTACTTTGTCAGTATAAAGAAGAATTACTGTGGTTTAATGTTAGGTTGTGCTATCAGCTGGGCGGACCAATCTGAACCACAGAACTGTACAATCTGGAATGGAAGCAAATACCTTTAACTTGGGCTGGTTTATAATTTGATTATTTGTCTGTCCATTGATCCAGTCAGTTACAAGGCAGCTTGGAAATGCCAAGTCCTATCACTAACATGCAAAAACCAAGTGCTTAACAAGAAACAGAAATTTCCATGAAGTATTACTTCAGTTGAAATTCTTTGCCAGAGAAACTCTGTATTTGGGCAGTTATGTCTCCCAATTACTACTGCTGCTTCTGTCAGAGCTGTCCTGGTGTTACTGGATACTGACAATTCTCAGAAAAATAATTTTATTGTCAGTTGGGCATTTTACATTTTAAATTGAAGTGCTGAAATGTATTCCTGATGTAACTGACGTGAATGGAGTTACATTAGGGATCATTTTAGTGCTACTAATGTAGTACAGATGATTTCACAGTGACATACATTTCAGCTAAAAATAATGCAAAATGAGAGATTTCAGGTTCACTTGCAGTGGTGAAAAAAAATTGGAGGAGTTCCATTAGAATTCATGAAATCACAGCAGCATCAATCAGATTTTGGATAAAGGCTGATACTTAACCACATACTGACACTTAAAGAAATTCACAAGTTTTATAGGAAACTGAAGTACCAATGCCTGAATCATAAGAAGAGAGTTTTGCCAGCTGAAGTATTTGGTTTAATGCTTGACTTCAGAGATCTATAATTTTTTTTCTTTATTGCAGTCATGGAGTTTTTTGAAGTTACATTGATTCCTTGGAAATTTCACCCTAGATGCTGAAACTTACATAAAAAGAAGTGGTGCGTCATCCCATTAGGGAGTTCTTGGTGAAGTTTGTTAGTGTTCAGCTAAGCTTTCTGAGCATGATTCCACAAGAGTCCAATTCCATTTGATGGAAAGTGTAATCTATATGTTTGTATTTGAAGGAAAATTCTTCTGCTTACATCTGTGTTATAGAGGCCATTTCTGTGACATCTGTGTAATGCAGAGGAAGTCTGGGAGATCGAGGGAGTGAAAAAACCCACTGCCAGCACTATTACTTCTAATTCATGTCAGTGTTCCTAGTGTTTGGGGACAATCGTCGTTATGGATTTCTTGTAGTAATAAAAACTGGGATTTGAGTGTGTTTTCCATCAGTAAAACTTCTCCTATAGCTTTGGAATGTGAAAATGATTTTGCGTAATACTGGGGTGCAAAGATTTTGGGATCAGGCTATAATGTTGAATAAAATATTGTTACCTTGTAGCTCCTGACATGGAAAAAAAGCTCCTGTCAAGTATGCCTTCAAGTCTTGAGAGGCATTTGACTTGATGAAAAATCATTGCTAAACTACTCAAGAATATGGAATATTTCCTATTTGTATAAATGTAGGAAAAAAGCACTATGAAAAACCAGCAAAATATCGAAGTCTGGTCCATGTGTAACTAGATGGTGGGAAGTCCCTGCCCAGCACTGAAAAATGAAATGTGTCTTTCTGGTGATCCTAGCCTCATAAAGCTAATTGTAAGTAGAAATTAATTTTTAGCATAAGCTTTACACTTTATTGATGGTCCTCAAATTAAATATGAACTATCCATGGTGCTCTAGAATATGTCAGTAGCTTCCTGAAACAATTTCTTACTTGTTCCATGTTAATTCTAACAGGTCTATTTTTTTTTAATTAATTGGCAGGAGACAGTAATAAATTGAAAAAATATTTCAAGATAAGAAACCTGTAATATTCAGCATGTAAGTTACATATTTTTGTTATCATTAAATAAACCTAAATGGCAATCTGGAACACGTGTAGAAAAGGGACAGGATATGGATTTTCCTGTTGCTGTAACAGAATGATCAAATGCTTCTGATTTTGCAGAAAATAAGGTCTAGTTTACAGGCTTAACATGTTTGTGCACTTCTTTTTGAAACAAATGCTTTTAGGAAAACTGGCAATTTTTAAAAAATGAACATTCCTTCATTTTCACAGAGATCATCTAATGTGGAAAGTATGATTGACAAATTTATACTGGGCTAATGTGCATAAATGTTTCGTGCCTGGCAACTAGGTAAACCCACAAAACTTCTCATGTTGCTACCATGCTTCCTGTGTATTCAGAACTCTGATGACATTAATTCTGAAGGAAAATTCATTAAAGCATTAGGTACTGAGATGGTTGAATTAATTTTTATTTGTAATACACTTCTGTAAAATGATAATGTTCCTTTAGACCTTTTTCTGCAACAGGTTCATTGGGAAATAGACACATAAGTATATAACAAGGAAAGAAGAGAAAAATCTGATAAAATATTCTAATTGAGGGAAAGTAGGTAAGTAAAAACTTTCCTTTTTTTCCTGTACTTGTGCATTTGTGGTATTGCCATTGAAAACAAATTTGGGGCCAGCTGGCTGAACAAATCTGCACCTGCAGGACAGGTGCTTCATGCGTTGTGTCTGGTCCAGGCACTCGGTGGCCGCTGCTGCAGCTGCTTCTGCTGCGTCGTGCAACTGGGAAGAGAATCGTGATGCCCGGCAGTACCCCATGGGGCAGGAGAGGGTGCTGTGATGTTTTTATCTGGTCTGGTAAATGCATGCTCCTACCACAACTATCCTACCTGAGTGAAAATCAGTTTTTAAGAGAGTTGCTCAGAAATGCCATGTAACACTTTTAGACAGGAAAGTCACTGAGCCTCCAGCCTGCTGGTTCCTCAGCTACAGAGGGACTTGGGTCCACATTCACAAAACATGTTTTTAGGCACCTGACTTCCATTTGCTTCATTAGGAACTGGGTTGCAAAATGTTTCCTGAATCTGGGACCAAATGGTTTGCTTAGAGTCTAGAGGAAGTCTGTGGTGGAGCAGGTTTCTCAAGCGTCACAGCAATTCCCAAAGGAGTGTAGGAACTAACAGCACATATCCAAGATAGGTTTGGACTTTGTTTTGTTTTAAATCTCTTCCAGTGTTCCTGGGGCATTTATGTTGAGAGTAGGGAGGAGGATTGATAGATTCAGCGAGGGATGTCAAAGGTGTCTTGAATTTTAGATGGATTTATTTATTTTTTTTCCTGTTCTTAGCAGTCAGAATAAACTGAGGGTTTGCCTTTTTTAAAAAAAATAATGATTTAATCCTAACCCTTGTTACACAAGCCATTTCAGTGGCAGAACATACACTGACTCTGAAATGGTCATCCTGGACAATGACGGTAGCTTTGAATTCAGAAAAAAACCCGAGCCATTC